GTGCAAATGTTAAGAAGAATAAAGCTTTGCTGAGACCAGAAAGTTGGAGTCTGAATGCTTTGAGCTGCCAGCAACATCAAGAAATGTTAAGACATTCCTGGCAAATGGGGCTACTGCTTAAGAAGCATGAACCCAACAAGCAGTGGAGGTGCACACCTTTAATCCCAGCACTCAAGAGGCAGGAGGATCTCTGAGTTCAAGGCCAGCCTGGTCTACAGAGTGAGTTCTAAGACAGCCAGGACTACACAGAGAAATGCTGTCTCGAAAACCGAAAGAAAAAAAAAAAAGTACACGCATGTATGCACAAGCATGCTGTTTACACACACACACACAGTAGGGGAGACCAAGAATGCACAAAGGGAAAAGTCCAGTACTTGGTTATTATGAAGTTTCATCTTCATGGTTAATTTGACCTGGACTGAGATCTACCTTATAGTTACGTCAAGGGCGTTTCCAGAGAACTCTGAGGAGGGAAATCCCACTTTGAACATAAGTAACATCACGCCATTGGCTGGGGTACTGGACTGCATGAAACAGAAGAGCTGGGGGCCGGAGGGACAACTGAGTGGTTAAGAGTACTGGCGGCTCTTGCAGCAGACTCTAGGTTCCCAGCACCCATGTAGTGACTCACAAACACTAGTAACAGCAGTTTCAGGGGATCTGACCTCTGCAGGTTCCTGGATGGGATGTCGTGCACATACCTGCACCCAGGTACACACACATACATATTTTTAAAATAATTTTGATTTTAAATTTAATGCGTATAGTGTTTTGCCTGTGTGTATATGTCTGTACACCATGTGCAGTGTCTGCAGAGACCAGAAGAGGGTTTTGGAGTTAGTCATTAGCTGTACCATGTGGGTACTGGGAATTGAACCCTTGTCTTCTGGAAGACCAGTCAGGACTCTTAACCACTGAGCCATCTCTCCCGACCCCATATTTTTTAATCAACTAATTAATTAAAAGGGTGAGGGGGCCGAGCACCAGCATTTATCTTTGCTTTCTGATTGGTTGCAATGTGATCAGCTGCCTCATGACCCTTCCACTCTGCCTTCCTCACAATGATGGGCTGTATCTTCAACTGTCAGCCAAAATATAAACCCTCCCTTCTTCTCTCTGCCTGCCTTCTTACCCGTCTCCCTTCCTCCCTGCTAGTTTTTTTTTTCCAAGCATTTTGCCACAAAAGTAACAAATGCAGTTTAGAAAAAATACACAAAAGCACCAAAAGGGCTTGTTCTCTCATACAGTACCGGCTGCCCTTCTGACCTGAACTCACCACCACAATGGCAGGCACTAGAGTCTCAGATCTGCAACTGACCACAAATCTCAAACTCATCATTGTCACCTGGAAGCCATCCCCATTGCAGAATATTCTTCAAGTGCCTTTTGGCTTCACAGAAGAGCTAGGGGTGAGGGGGTGTGCTTAGCAAGCTCTGACGGAAAGGCTGAGGGCCTTGAGAATTAGAAAACGCCATGGTTTGAATTCATCCTCCCAGAGTTCCTTTGTTGAAAACTTGATTTTCTAATTTGTGTTGTACAAGTATTTTGAGGTGAGGCTTTGGGTAGGTACGAATGGATGAAGTATTACAAAAACCTGTAAAACATACTGTTTTAATTCTTACTGTTTTAATTCTGTGGACTCTAATAGATATCATCTCATAGCACTGCTAATTCAACAAGTTTCTTTCCAAGAACTATTTGGCCTAATATCTCCTGTGTTGGAGTATATGGAAACCCACTCCAAATCACACAGCACCCAAAATCTGACAAGTCGGAGTGGTGTTACAGCAAGCAAGGGTTTGGACGGCTTGAACTACAGTGAACCTGGATGACAGAAAAGCAAGAGCTTGGGGGATAGCTCAGTAGTAATAGTAGCCTCAAATACACAGGGCCCAAGCAATGCAAAATGACAAGTCACCCAATTCATACCTTTTCTGTTTTTAAGTCTCAAGTCATAAAAGTTCAGCTGCTCTTTAATGTTCCTGATACCTACTTCAACTACAAATGGCTGAGGGAAAAGCAGAAAGTCCAGTTTTCTCTATTGTCAACTCTTCTCAATTTGGTAATTACACTTGAGTGACAAAAACAATACTGATGTTCAGAACACTTTTTGAAAGAGCTGCTATCTAGAACTTGGAAAGGAAACACGACCTAAGTCATGAAAGCAGAAGGCAGGGAATGTGGGGGAGGAAAGAAAGAAAAAGGAGGGCAAATAGAATTATGATGCACATGAATGAAATCTGTTTCTCTGTTTATTAACCAAGATAGTATTTTAAAGACAAGGTTGGTTTGTCATACCATTCTCAGTCCTAATTGTAGCTTACACCCTGGTAACAGCTTAGTTTTCATTAATGATGAGCAACAGCAAATTCTTTTTTTAAAAAATGTTTATGTATTTGTGTAGGTTAAGTGCAAGAGTTCATGGAGTGCCGGATCCTGTGCAGCCGTAATAGGCACTGGGAATTGAAATCAGGTCTTCTGCAAAAACAGTACACACCCTTAACCAATGTCCAACCCTCCAACCCTCTCATTTTTAAAATTTTCATATATTTTCATGTTTTCAGCATTTCTGATTTCTGATACTTGTCTATTTTTTGACTGCATTGTTCTTTTTACTCAGTTCAGAGCCACTTGTTAAGTGTTTGTACTCCTTAATTGCAGTTTCAACCATATCCTTTTGTTCAGAAGTCAGATCACTGAGATGACCTAGCAGAGGGCATATGCTTTGAGACAAACAAATGTGACACACTAATGTCTACAAGCTGGCATCCACCATGCTTGCACCAGTGGTCATCAATGAGGCTTCCTGGTGTTTGAAGACAATGCAAGGATACACACTGAGGACCTTAGAACCTTTCTGCGCAACATCCAATGGTGTTCCCAGCTAAACTATCTGCATTGGGCCCAGCAACCCAGAGCAGACTCGGGGCTGGAGATAACTCACTGGGAGATGGCTTACCTTGTCACAAGTAAGATACTGGGTTCCACTCTGAGTGTACATGCATCAAAAGCGCAAGTCCTTTTGGACTCTATTAGTATTCCGTAGCTATATAAATTCCCCAAAACCTGATTCTTTAAGACCCCCCAAATGTAATCATCTTAAGCACACACAAGAACCACAGCATCCGAATATAAATTTGTGAAATTTTTCTTTACAAGAAACATAGAAATCATTATAAAGTTGTAAAATTTTAAAAACAGGTTTTCTTCAGCCAAAGAATGTAAACAATGAAGGAAAAGAACATCGCAATAGAGGACAGCAAGACTCTGCAGCCATGACACTAGTTAGAGAAGCTACAGGCCAGGCAGGTCCTCAAGATAGGGTTACTGAAAACACCATTCACAGCAATTTCATCAAGGTCCTACTACTCTTAAAGGGTTTTGCCAAAAACAATTTTTTTAATGAGATTAAATAAGTCAAAATAATTACATCACAACTGAGTTTATGAAATGCAACATCAATAACCCATCACATTGAGGATGTTTAGATATCCAAGCACAGGTCCCTTTATAAAGTTTGTATGTAAAGACAGACATCAATCACCATCCCTAACCTCAACCCTAGTGTCTTCTGCCCTATAGTTCCCCACAGTACCTCACTACAACAAGCATTTTCCTCTTCACAACTCATTAAATGACAAACACATCAAATTATTTTTTGTTGAGTATAATCCTGGCACAGACTGTGAAGGACAAACACTGAGGACTTCACAGTGATATTAAACACACATTTATCATCATCTTGCTCACTCTGTGAGAAGCAATTTGGTATAGTGGGAAGAATACTGACCTAGAAAAAAATTCCTGCTCTAAACTGCACGCCTTTAATCCCAGCACTCGGAAGGCAGAAGCAGGCAGATCTCTGAATTTGAGGCCAGCATGGTCTATAATGATTTCGAGGACAGCCAGGGCTACACAGAGGAAACCCTGTCTTGAAAAACCAACCCCCCCACAAAAAAAAAAAAAAGAAAAAAAAATCAGGATACAACATTTCATGTCTATATTTTAAGGCTATTGAGGCTCAAAAGGAAACATTAGAAATTACAAAATATTCTCACTTTTTATTACAAAGAAAAACTCTGCAAATGGTATTTATATTAAAGCTGCAATGTTGTAATTACGAAATGCCCTACACCAGGTCACAAGATTCAACAATTAAAGAAAAACATTTATGCATAAAATTTTCCAATTTTTTATCCTTTTATGAAATAGAAAAATATCTTAAATTAAAATTCCACAAAGTGCCACTCCTCTAAAAAAAAAACCCTGCCAAATAATATATGGTTTTTATTATTCTTTATAAATAAACTCTCTCTTTATATATGTATATATTATGTATATATATTTCTGCCACCTGAGGCCTCGATAGATACATCAACATGTCAGGTTTTGCATTACAAATCTACAAAGACTAAAATTTGGTTTACATTTAGAACTTATACAAGGGTATTATAAAAATAAAAAAAAATCAAAGTTGTGACTACATAACTACTCGAGGGTGCTTAAACTACTTCAACCGCATTTACCCATTTTGATAGTCACTCGATATATTATCTCACATCTCTTGTTAACCATGAATCAACAATTCAAAAGCAAACAGAGCATGATTTAAACTATGGCAAATTCTACCTTGAGTATTTGCATATTTAAAATTTTATTAATATGTCTATTTACGTGGGGGTTGGGGGGAGACAGGACAATTTCACAGAGTCAGTTCTCCTCACACCATATGGATCCAGGGATGGAACTCAGGCCATCAGGCTGGTAACAAGCACCTTACTGCTGAGCCACTTCAATGGCCCTACTTTATTAATATGTATAAAAGAGAGACAGAAATTATAGCTATGAACACTTCTTCTTTCCTTTTTGGTTTGTTCTGACTCAGGGTCCCACTCTGGCCTTGAACTCTTGGTAATCCTCCTGCTTCGGCCTCCCAACAGCAGACTTAGTCAGCACACTCAGCTTTCTACTGTCAATGAGTTAGACACATTTGAAAATACTTGAGAGTTAATTATTGTCCACTTTATTTTCCTTTCATCTGAAATTCAGAATTAATGTGTAGCCACATTAGTGTATGAAAAGGTTTACTAGAAAAATAAAGAACTTTAAAATTTTACAATATTTCATATTCCAAGATTCTTTTAGATAAAATCAATGTTACTTGTAGTTCAAACACAGAATCTGACTTAACAGATTCTCAATTAATCCCTGTAAGACAAAACACACTTGGTAAAATGGTAGGTCCTCAACAATATAAGCAATCCAACATGAAAGTTCCACCCAAACACCTCAGATGCCTGTGGGAGTGCCTCCTGCAAAGTGTAGGAAATGACCTTCTCGGAAATTTAGCACTGTGTGCACTACCATATCAAGTGCAAATTATGTGGTCTATGTTTACTACTCCAAAATTTTTATTAGCTATACAAGGAAAGAACAAACATCTTTTTATAAAGCAGACACTAAATACCTCAGGCTTGCAGACCCCTAAGGTCTGACAATTCCAATATGCCACTGCAGGGGAAAATCAAGTAACAGATATGAAAATGACTATGGGCTGCAGGCTGTCCAGTGCTGGCCTAGACATAGATTTGGAAAAAGAAACATAATCCTAGGCCCACTACAAAATATGTCATATGTGGGCACAGGAAGAGCAGCAGAGTAAGAAGAAACATTAATGAACATTACAGCCTAAAAAGTCCAAAGTTACTATCCAATCAGATTTGAATGTTTAAATATGTATACATACAAGTTATAAAACTAGCTTGCTTTACTTCATATTCTTTTTGGTGTGCTAGTAACAGTGTCAAACCCAAGTCACACCAGAAGTAAAGGGACCAGGAACAACTGAGTACTCCGAGGCTAATCAACAAGCAGCAATGTGGATGGATGGTTTTGACATCTAAAGGTTTCTATACAGTGACAATGACCAATTTGTTATCTGTACACCTACAGAAAATGTTGGATGCGTATTTATTTCCAGATGTCATCTTAAAAATTAAATTGAATTGTTACAATTTGAAGCTAAATGTGATTTGTTTTGTTTTATTAGAAAAAATATTCAAGCAAAGTCTACAATCATCGGTCAATTAAGAATGACTTACAAGAACATGAGACAGTAAAATAAAAATACAGGTACAAACTCTATGTCTGAAACACTTCTATTTGGCAATGTTATAACAAACCAAAATTTAAAAGGAACAAAGGAGATTGCAGAGTACTTCGCAGATATAGAATAAAACAAATGATGAAGTGCTTAAGCAAAGGAAAAAAAAGATTAAGAACACACCGCTTTTCTTCTTTTGAAAATAGATTCCGTTTGCTACAGAGCACCTTAGACGGCCATTCCAGAGTGTCCTCATTGGCAGTGCTTTCCCTCGTCCCTCAGCGTCCATGACTCACTCCATGTCTACCTCTTTACCCACTGCCCTGTTCAACCTCCAATACTTTCAGTACCTTCTCTGTGTGTAGTTTTTCTTTTTTAAGCAAATGAGAAATGATCTATGCATCATGGAACCTTTCCCATTTTGGAACCAAAGGTTTAGTTTTATATTTTTGTCTATCTTTCTTTAAAAAATTGAGTGTAAAAACTGCTGGTTTTCCTGTCATTGTAGGAAGTGAGAACTCCCGAGTGAGGAGTGCTTTCTGCAGTCTGACTGCACAGCACATGCTTTCCAGTATGTGCTCCCAACAGTAAGGAACAACTACCTCAGTCACTGTCAGAGGGGTGTGCCGTAAACTTCCATTATGGGTCTAGGTCCTCCCTCAAAGACTTTCTGGAAGGATGTCCAATGCTTTGTTCTTAGACATTAACAGTAGTACACAGTCCCTTCAGTCTGCAAAGACGTCTCTTGTTAAAGGTGCTTTGATAGCAATCCCTCTGGCAGCACTAGTGAGTTACAATTTCCTTCAATATTATTTCTACCATAATATATACATTGACTTTCATGCCTCTAGAAAACATCTACAGTACATTTCATAATAGAAAAATATATTACAAATCTGCTGAATTATTTACAAGCAACACTCTATTATCTCTATGCGACATTTGTTTGATACAGTACTGACAAGTTACACATATTTCCATTTCTGTAAAGTTAAAAAATTCCATATGGCTTCTTGCGTGCCAAGCAAGAAAGTGATTTTATTTTCCTTTTCAAAACCAACTTTGGTGCATAAAAGATTCGGTTTGAAGATACTTTAAAAAAAATACATTTTTTTTTTTACATTAAAAAAAAACTCAAAAACCAACACTTTCCTCAGGAAAAAAATTAGAGTCACAGGTTAAATGAAAATATGAAGATTATTCAAATAAGCTGAATTTGAGGTTTTTTTCAAAAACCATTGACAAGAGTAGTTATGTAGGTAAATATAACACACTGTACCCCATAAAAGACCCTAGTCCTGAAAAGGGAGCCAGACATACGGCAACACTCTTTAACAGTAATTCTCAGACCTAATTCGATAGACGAATTTTTAGTTGATTGCAAATGTCGTTCACTGTTTGCTTAAATACAAATTGAACATTTTTCTTATCAGAGTTCTGCAAAAGAACACAAATGGCAACCAATCACATCTATTTATCATAACTGAAAGATTAATTATCTCCTGATAATTTTCACTGTCTAAATATTTCTATTAGGACTTCCAATCAATACACACTGTCAAGAAGAATATCTTACAGTGCTTTCGGTATTTTTAAGGGCAATTGTTTGTCTTTCCAATAAAACTATTGTAATCACTAAGGGGAAGAAAAAAAGCAGCTTAAGCAGCGAGCATGCAAAGCCTTTCAGAAGCTGTTCAACTGAGTTGCCAGAGAGTGTCTGCGCAGTCTCCCACAGCGCCATTCCATGACATGTGGACTACAGTAATATATTAATATATTCCACAGAAGACCTACTTCATTCACAGAATGTCCACACTAAGCATAAATATTACTCTAAATACTGGACTTAAAAATAAAAGAGGAAGGGGTTGACTCTAATGTGCAACTTTCCCTAAGCCCATTGTCAGTGACTAAGACTGCAGGTGGCCCCGCTTGTTTGCTTTTATGTATTTATGTATGTTTTACCTCTTCAACCTCTTCTGCGGCATTGTTCTAGAAAAAGAAAAAGAAATTCTTTATTCAGTTGAATCAAAAAAACAGAGTACTTCAAAAGAAACATTAAAGACTTGAACACAGTGGTGGTGACAGGCCATCATAACAAGGTATTTCCAAGTGCTGCTGCATGTCTTTAGTCCCAACTACTCAAGACTTGAGGCAGGGGTGGGTATTGCTTGAGCCTAGGAGTTCCAGAATATCTAGGGCAACACAGAAAAACCCTGTCCCAGGAAACAAATATGTATATTGAAAGCAAAAGTAATTATTCCTAAAATATACAGATATAATGAATACAAATTTATTTACATGGCTTTTAATAAAAATCTGTAATCTGATAACATTTCTATCAAGAGTTCCACATCTAACATGCATTTTCAACTACTACTTTTAAATGTATATTTAAATTTCAAAGAAATGTTCTTTATAGTCTCATTTGTAAGTGAAGTATGTATCTTCTAGTGGAACAGTAATACTTCATTTTGACATGTATATTAGCAAGCCATCATTCCTCAAAAAGAAAGTGGAAATAACTGTTTTCCCAGTCAAAATCCAGACACTTAACCCTAATCTCACACCAAGAAACCATCAAGCCTTTATGACTGCACCAGAAGAGAAGAAGCACCTAAGACAAAGTTCAATGTTAAGGTTTTGGGGTATGTTTCATTTTGGCTGGTTGTTTTAACAGTTAACATACAAGCCAAATGTGATGAGGCATGCCTATAAACCAAGTACTTGGGAGACTGAAGCAGGACAATGTGGAATTCCAAGATAGTCTGGGCTACACACAAGCACCCAAGAACATCCTCGTTTCCCAAGAAACTTTTAGTAAAAAAAAAAAAAAGACAAAAACAAAAAAAAAAAAAACGGAAGAATCACATATCTTGAATTAGCCAACCTCGGTTCTATCAGTACTTCTAAAAATAAATTCGAGGGTTGGGGATTTAGCTCAGTGGTAGAGCGCTTGCCTAGCCAAGCGCAAGGCCCTGGGTTCGATCCTCAGCTCAAACAAACAAACAAACAAATGAATGAATAAATAAATTCTAAACATGAAGAATATTTTAAATCATTTTCACTATGATATCTAAACTGCTTCCTACAAAGCACAATAGCACAAAAATAAGTTGATGTGTGAGAAAAGAAGAGGGAAAAAGAAAAGAGAGCAGAAGTATGGAGACTCATCCCAACGGTTAATTCTGAAGACATTTATAACCAGTTCTACAAGCAGACTAGCTCTCCCAGAATACTGCTCTGCTAGGATGCCAGTTTCAATTATCTCCCCACAGAGTAAGCAGGATCAAATCTAAGTTAGGTATCAGTAAATAAACACCCAATCATCCTTTGAAGTATGGCATTCCATATTCTTGGTCTGATTTTCCTCAGTCTTCTCCCCTTTATTGTCTATCCCATCTTCAGAGAATATGACCCCTGCAATCCAGCACCTTCCACAAAAGACATTTCATTTAAAATGGGGAGTAGGGAAGGCTCTAGAGTCCAGATATATCTCCTCATGGCAAGGCCCATGAGTGTTAAAACTTTGCTCTCAAAACAATGTCTCGGGCTGGAGAGATGGCTCAGAGGTTAAGAGCACCGACTGCTCTTCCAGAGGTCCTGAGTTCAATTCCCAGCACCCACATGGTGGCTCACAACCATCTGTAATGAGATCTGGCACCCTATTCTGTATACATAATAAACAAATAAATCTTTAAAAAAGAATGTCTCAAGTAAGAATCCTGATACACTGAATGGCAGCACAAACAGCAGTGTCACAGAAGGAGCAGAGCCTTGGAAGGTGTTTTTCATTACTACAAAATTAACCCATCTTAGGGATAGGGATATAAATCAGCTGGTAGGATGCCAGAGCCCCTCAGCTTGATCCCCACTACTCCAACCTACACCACTCCAAATTAGCTCATTTTATGACAATGAAAAATAAGCTGGGTGGTGGTGGTAACAGTGGTGGTGAACACCTTTAGTCCCAGGAGGCAAGTGGATCTCTGAATAGAAGGCCAGCATGATCTACAGAGTGAGTTCCCGGTCAGTCAAGGCTAGAGAGAGAAACCCTGTCTCAAAAAACAAACAAATAAGATCCAGGGATTATCAGTATCATCTTAATTCTAGCCAACCCACTCTCATGAGAAATACATTAAATGGATCTTCACTCTAAAAGTATAAAGTCCAGTGCCTTTTTTTTTTTTTTTTTTTTTTAAAGATTTATTTATTTATTATGTATACAGTGTTCTGTTTGCATGTATCCCTGCAGGCCAGAAGAGGGAGCCAGATCTCATTACAGATGGTTGTGAGCCACCATATGGGTGCTGGGAATTGAACTCAGGACCTCTGGAAGAACAGCCAATGTTCTTAACCTCTGAGCCATCTCTCCAGCCGTCCAGTGCCTTTTTTAATCACTGGTTTAATCACCTGAGTAGTCTATGTTATTAGCATATAACACTGTGACCTTGGACAGATGAAGTGGAATCCCACTGCAGTTTCCAATCTATGTGCAAGCCGGGCGGTGGTGGCGCACGCCTTTAATCCCAGCACTCGGGAGGCAGAGGCAGGCGGATCTTTGTGAGTTCGAGGCCAGCCTGGTCTCCAAAGCGAGTTCCAGGAAAGGCGCAAAGCTACACAGAGAAACCCTGTCTCGAAAAACCAAAAAAAAAAAAAAAACAAAAAAAAACAACCAATCTATGTGCAGATACAATGACCCCAGAGAGGCTGCTATGGTGTATATATGAAGCAATCACAAAAGTGACTGCTCACCTAAGAAAAACTCATGGCTGCTTCTCTTCCTAGCACAACTGTCTAGAACAGCCAGGTCCACCAAGCTTAGAAATTGCAGTCTCTGAAGTACTTAACAAGCACACTGCTACTTAAACTGCTCTTATGGAAAATTTGGGGAAGAAGCTACTGAAGTACATGGTATTTAGAACACATTCAGTTTATTCTCAGGCCCACAAAAGTCTGATTTAAATACAGACAATGGCATCTTTTTAAATTTAGGTTTATGTTCATTAACATGTATGTGTATATACCTGAGTGAATGAATAGCACATGTGTACTGGTGCCTATGAAGCCAGGAGGTGTCAGATCCCCTATAGCTAGAGTTACAAGCTCATGTGGGTGCTCAGAACTAGCCTCAGGTCCTCTGAGTACTCTTAACTCCCAAGTCATTTCTCCAGCCTCAGAATCACATTTTAAAATAATTTAAAATATTTCTGTTTCATAATTTAAGCAATCCAAAATAAATCTAGAACTAAACTTGCATATAAACTTTATCAAATATTGTTTCTGGATCCTAAGACTTAGCTCTTTGTGACATTACATCCACACTTTTAAAAAGCATAGAGTGCCAATGTTCTATAATGCCCCAAAGCCAGGTGGTGAGGCAGCACTGACCACACAGCAAGTCTGGGTAACTTGAGCTACAGAAGATCCTGTTCCCACAAGCCCCTCAAAACAAAACAAAACAAAAACAAAAAACAAACAAAACAACAACAACAACAACAACAAAAAATACTAGAAAGTCTATTGGACAGAGAAATCCAGCACAAGTTGATTGTCTCAAGGCCAGCAATCTAGGTAATTCTGAAGGTAGAATCAAGATGATTTTGAGCATTCTGATCAAGAATGCTCACTTAGTCCTGTCTAGGCAAAAACAAAACAAAACCCAGCATTTTGGATAAAGAGTAGTCAATATGTACTGAAAAATAAATCCCAACTTACCCAAAATTTAGAAAATTTCAAGATAGCAATTCAAAATGGGAAGTATACTGTCATGAAATAAATTACCTGTAAATGTTTGGGTCCAACAGCAAGGCAGTGTCTTTGGGTAGCTTTGATAAATGAACTACTTTAGTTTTTAACTGGTGTCGTTCACTTTCATTCACCCACACATCTGGCAGACTATGAATTAAAGAAAAGAAAAGCCAATAATTTATAGTTATCCTAGACTTACTGTTCCCGTCTTCACACTCCCCGGCCTTTTCTGACAGGGACACCTATGTGCTTCTGCAAAGACAGATGGGTCAGGCCATCTATTCAGGAGCCAGACACAGATTGAAGCACGTTCAATTTGGGGTGTAGGGTGGACTGGGAATTTGTATAGCCTGGCTTCTAGCTAAATGAAATTAACAAAAAGCTAACTGTTTCTTACTAGCAAAGGAAAACTCCATCAATCCATGAGCTCAGGAGTACAGTGAATATCAAGAGTACCAAGGAGGGGCCTCTGATGCGACTGAGCCCACATGAAAGGAAAGAAAATAAAATGCATGTATGTGACCAAATTCTGAATTTGAAGATATTTAATCCTACAGAACATTCAAAGTACTTTGATATATCTGTATTGGACAATTTCCACAATAGTAGGATTATAAAGGCATTTAAATTTGACATTCTTTTAAAGATTTGTTTTTATTTTATGTGTAATAGTGTTCTATCTGCATGTATGTCTGTGTACTATGCATGTGCCTGGTGCCCTAAGAGGCCAAAAGAGGGTGTCTGGAGTTATAAACAGTGTGAGGTGCCATGTGGATGTTGGGAATCAACAACATCTCCTCAAAGATCAGAATCAACAAAGAATAAATTTTAAAATATATTTTTTAAAATTAGTATCAAGCAAGGAATGGTACTACAAGATTTGACACAGAAAACAGAAGAGTCAGAACTCAAAACCTGCCTGGGCTCCATGAAACCTGGTCTCAAAATCCCTACCCTCCTTCAAAAAAAAAAAAATTAGTGTAAGACAGACATAGCTCACATCTATAATCCCATCACTCCCAGAGGTGGAGGCAGGAAGATTATGAGTTCACCGACATTGGGTTATATGAAGAAACCTCATCTAAAACAAAAATCTTCCCTCATAGTTGCATGGGTGTTATCCAGGTAGCAGCTTTCTAAATGAACTTAAGACCCACTCCACAAAGACAGTCATGCTGGCTTCGTAGCACGGCCAAGCAATCATGGCAGGAGGTCAGAGGCTGCAAAGGAGAACCTACTGCTACCATTTACTGAAGGGACATCTATCAAGCTGCCCCTAAAGTTACACACATTGACAAGTGTTCCTCTCAGCCCTCACCAGAAGCTTCCTGATGAGGTAGGGGCAGTTAAAAAGTATAAAAAGCTCCTAGAACGTTCAGTTGCCAACTTGACAACTCAAAGCACAGTACAGTACAATTCAATTTCTCTTAAGATTCCTTATTTTAGTAAGTTAAATAATTTTTACACTCAAGACTTTAAGAGATAGGGCTTCTCTGTGTAACAGCCCTGCTTGTCCTGGAACTCGCTTTGTAGACCAGGCTGGTCTTGAACTCACAGAGATCTCCCTGTCTCTACCTCCCAAGTGCTGGAATTAAAGGTGTACACCACTAACGCCTGGCAAAATAAAATTTCTTACACACAGTATTTCAAATACTTACATGTCTTCAGGCATCCAATGAAGCAAAAGCTTTATCTTTCCAGATTCTTCTTTTCTCTTAGCTATTACCTAGTAACATTACAAAAGAAAGAAAGGATAAAAAACTATAGAACACCATTTTTCTATACTATTAAGAACCTGAAAAGGCCATACCCTACACAGGAAAGGCACTGTTACCCCAAATTCGTATCATTCCTGCTTTTCAGACTCCAACCTCTTCCCACTACACTGAAATCGCCACATGGCCTGCACTGACTTGAAAATACCAAAACATACTCATAATTATAAATAAATAAATCTTGTTTAAACGTTAGAGCAACTAACGGCTGTCAAGATGGCCATTAACTAATGGCTGTTAAAAGCACTTTCTACAAAGGCTGAGTTTGACCCTTGATATCCATGGAAGAAAGAGAACCAACTCCCAAGTGTCTTCTGATCTCTACATGTGTGGACGGATAGAACAAAGAAGAAACAAACAATAAGTAAAGCCAGAAACCAGGCTGGCCTATAATCCCAGGCAGGAGGGCCAAGGAGTTCAATGCTATCCTTGACTACATGGTTAGCTCCTAAATAACCTGGGCTACAGGAGACCCAAAACCGCTGCAAAGAAAAAGATCTACTTCACAACTGAGACATCTCTCTGCCTGGGTTTCTACTGCTGTACTTGGTGGGCCAATTCATCTTTAGGACTACCTATCTAGACAGTGCATCAAACCACTGTCATGTTAGCAGTCTGAAAACCAAGGTGACACCTGGTGTTGAACAGCTCTCCAACATCCACTCTGACATTGATGCTTTAGTGTGCTGTCAATCTCTGTACCATGTACCAAATTCAAGTTACAAATTCCCAAATAAATACTGTAATGTTATTCTGAAAACATACAACTAAAAACAGAACCTGAAACAAAAAAAGTTACTTCCTCTGTTATAGACAAGCTTGCAGTTGAATAAATGCCCTAATTTTAGACTTGGCAATTAATGATAAAACTCACAAAAGTAAGCCAGGCGGTGGTGGCGCACGCCTTTAATCCCAGCACTCGGGAGGCAGAGCCAGGCGGATCTCTGTGAGTTCGAGGCCAGCCTGGGCTACCAAGTGAGTTCCAGGAAAGGCGCAAAGCTACACAGAGAAACCCTGTCTCGGAAAACCAAAAAAAAAAAAAAAAAAAAAAAAAAAAAAAGTAGATTTGGGGATACTAAAACCCTACAAATGACAGAACAAGCAGGCACAGTAACCCAACTGGAAACTGGGGTTCTGCTGACCTCTTCTGGAGAAAACTTCTTTTAAGACATGCATTAGCACATCATGTAAGCAGTCTAAACTGTTTCATGACCATTGAGGTTATTTCCTTCAACAGTTAACAACAGGCAAACTTACATTTGCAGTTTGTATTAAGCATTTCTGCTTAAAGTAGATGTTTAAGATATGTTTTGAGATAGTTATCTCACTATGTAGACCTGGCTGACCCAGAACTCAAGAGATTCACTTACCTCTGTCTCCCTAATGCTGAGATTCAATGTGTGCTTCAATAAGATTGGCGCAAGCCTGCATGCGTGTGTGTTTTAGCAGGAAGCTGAAGCCTGGAGTTTGAAGCCAGCCTGTGTAGACTGTGATTAAATATGTGCTTCACTAAGTCTGACGTGTGTATGGTCACCTGTGCACTGGGTATGTGCATAAGTGAGCACATCGTGTGTGTGTGTGTGTGTGTGTGTGTGTGTGTGTGTGTGTGTGTGTGTGTGTGTGTGTGTTAGCAGGAAACTAAAGTCTGGAGTTTGAAGCCAGCCTGTGTAGACTGTGTCCCAAACGTTTTTATTATTATTTAAAGGTTGATTGTACCTGGCTTACCTCCTCTCTAACTCACTTGGCTTTCCCAGGCACGGTTCCTCAGCTTGCACCTGTCCATCACCCTCTTCTCAGTCTAGGCCCTTCTGCTCACGTACTTACTGGTTTGTATCACTCGTTCCTCAATCACTAAGCATACAACATACACTAGAATGTCCTTAATTTTCCCACATTCTTAACCTTATTTCTTTTCTTCTGAAGGAGGACTCATATTCTCTTCTATAGTGAGCCAAAATATTATCAACAAAATGATAGGGATATTTCATTTAATCTAATTGGGGTTATTTACACGCACAATACATATTGAAAAAAAAAAAAACCCATTAACCGAAGGGGGGGGGAAATGGGGGCATGCATGTGTTCAACACCAGATACCTCACACACACTCAATATAAGGTCTCTTCCTCAACTGCTTACCATATTATTTTTAAATAATTTTTTAAAGCCAGGCTTGGTGAAGCACAACTTTTTTTGTTTTTGTTGTTGTTGTCAGGTTGTCAAGCTTGGTGGCAAGCACCTTTAGTCAGTGAACCATCTTACTGACCCCAGGTTCCTTTTCTCCCCTTACAATCAGGATTTTATATGGCATATAAACCAAAGTTATAAATCTACACAAATTAAAAAAAAAAAAATTAAGTGGGGCAGTGGTGGCACACTGGGGAGGCAGAGGCAGGCGGATCTCTGTGAGTGAGGCCAGCCTGGTCTACAGAGCTAATTCCAGGACAGCCAGGGCTACACAGAGAAACTGTCTCCAAAAACAAAACCCAGTAGGTTCCATACGATGGGCACAGAAGCACGGGTGAATTAGAAAGGTGACAGACAGCATGTTCTGGCGATGATTTCAGTGAGTAGTCACATCACTCAGTGAGTACTCAACCTCACTGACTTTCCCACTTGCCTCTCGTGTCTTGTATCTCTAACTTCATCCCCTCCATTTATACTCACTACCTTGTTTTTACAAGCACAGTCGAACCTGAAATACTATAAACAAAGTGTTTTCCTTACTTGACCTCTCAAAAACTGAAGGCAAGGAATCTCATTATAGGAGAATGAAGTGAGATGCCAATCTATGATCAATTCCAAAAATGAATACTTCAAACCTCTATTTTGTTGAAATAGAAAGCAAAATTTCTTATTTCAATAGCATATTTCATATTTCAAAATGAAAACTAGGCTAGACAAATGGCAATTGGTAAAGACACTTGCACTTGCTGCGTAAGCCTGGAGATCTGAATGCAATCCCTAGAAACCATAAGGGTGGAGGAAAGAACTGACCCCAAAGTACTCTGACCTCCTCACATGCACTCATACACATATGATGACTCTGCACAATCAAGATGTGTGTGTGTGTGTGTGTGTGTGTGTGTGTGTGTGTGTGTGTGTGTGTGTGAGAGAGAGAAGGGGGGGGGGGGGGAGAGGAGTGGGGGGAGGGAGGGAGAGAGAGAGAATGCCCACGAACCACAAGAGGGTGCTGGCTCCCACAGAGTTGGGAGTTCCAGATGGCTATGAGCCACCTGACATGATGCCAGGTCCTCCACAAAAGCAGCAAGCACTCTTAACTACTGAGCCGTCTCTCCAGCACCAATAATAATTTTAAAAGCCAAAACTACACATTCATTTTCCCAAGAATTCAAAATGCCAGAAGTCTTATCTAGAGACTGCTTTGCAAAACTTTGTAAAACTACACCAATTTAAAAGTGACTGGAGGGCTGGAGAGATGATTCAGTGGTTAAGAGCACTGACTCCTCTTCCAGAGGACCCGGGTTCAATTCCCAGCACCCACATGGCAGCTCACAACTGTCTGTATTCCAGTTCTAGGGGAACTGGCAAAACACCAATGCACGTAAAACTTTAAAAAAAAAAAAGATTCAAAAAAAAAAAAGTGACTGGAAAAAGACTAGAGAGTCTCTTTGGCTACTGGCTCAGTGGTTAAGAGTGTTTGCTGCCCTTGAAGAGAACCTGAGTTCAGATACCAACAACCAGGTGGCAGTGTTTGTAAATCTAGTTTCAGGATATCTGAACTTCTCAGACACCAGATACACATGGTGCAGAGATGTACATGCAGGCGCACACACATACACATAAGATTTTAAAAAAAAAAGAAAAAGAAAGAACGGACAATAAAATAAGTTCCTAGCTAACCACAAACTAAACTGATCTTTTAGCTTTGCTTTTCCAAACTGGCTGGCATTCAGCTTCTTCTGGGTTGAAAACCTAGCCCCAAGAAATAACGGCTCTCTATAGTGTGGTGGCCAGCCACAGTTCTCGAAACTGGGTTATACTTGTGAAACAAAGCACATTTAAGTATCTCTTCCTGCTGGTGATTTGATAACCTCCATTATTTATACCCCCACTCCCAACCCTGCCTGTTTTTGGTTTTTGGTACGAGGGACTGAGGATTGAATCTAGGGCCTCATGTATGTTAGAAACATGTTCTATCACTGAGCTATATCCCTAGTCTTCATTTTGAGTAACTCTGCTGCCTGGGCTGGCGTTATACTTACTCTGTAGCCCAGGCAGGCTTTGAACCCAAGATCTTCCTGCTTTAGCCTGCAGTGTTAAGAATCATAAGCATGCACCACCACATCCAACAAATTTTGTGACTGTAACAAAATTTCCTAAATTTTGAGCAATTTAGAAATATAATCGTGAAAAACAAACATATACTTTTTTCCCCAAAATCTATATAATTTGAAAGAAAAACAGAATACTTACAGTACTATGAAAAACAACACTGTGTCCCTTCCCTAAACTTTCTATATGAGCCGAGAGGTTAAAGCATATGGCTCGGTGTCTTATGGCATCCAGTGTTTGTGCATCGAAGAAATCATGTGGTCGTGCTAAAAGTCAACAACAAAAAGAAAAGTTAAGGACCGTTTAGAAAACTTCAACAGTCTGTTAAATGCTCAGGTATTTCCCAAACCCAGGAGAGGAGTGCTTTAACTGGAGGGATTAGCAAGTCCTGCCCAGTGTCTAACTGCATGTGTCTTTGTGTTCAGGGTATAGCTCTGATAAGGTGAGGACAGACAGAATTCCAATTATCAATGAACACAACAACTCCATTACCCCAGCTTCTTAGCCTCACACTCCACCATTCCACACTCCAGCAGCTTTACTTTTTCAACTTACCATGTGATTTCATGAACATTCTATTTTTATTTGCTATATCTCCACCTGTGCAATAAGGAGATTTCAAACTTACCATGTGATTTCATCAACATTCTATTTTTATTTGCTATCAAAATCTTTCCAAATTTGCAACAGAGGCAATATTATGTCCAAGCTTTCTTTCAACCAGTATTTTCTTGATTACAAATAAATGTCCTAAGTTTACAAACAATTTAAGAAAAATTGCACAACAAGCATTCATTCTCTTCAAACAAACAAAACACAAAACAGTAAGCAGTGCTTCCTTCCATCCACACCTGTCACTGGTACTCAACCCATCTCAGCAGCTGGCCTTAGCAGAGACTGCAAGTCAGAGCAGTTTCTCCTCAAGCAGCATATCTGCCAATCCTAAACACGCCTGGAAACTAAACTGCATCCACCTTCACTTTCTAAGAATGCTGAGCAGGCAGGAAATGGAATCAGGAGATCAAGAGTTTGAGGCCAGCCTGGGCTAGGCTGAGAATGCCTTAAAAAGAAGCAGAAAAGGGACGTGGATTGGTGGCACACACCTATAATCCCAGCACTGGGGATCTCGGTGAGTTCTAGGCCAGCCTGGTTTACAGGGAGACCTTTTCTAAAACAGAGTAGCAAATTGTGTAGGCATTGCTAAGTAACAGGAACAGTGAATAGATTTAAATGGTGATACAGTGTGAAATGAGTAGGCAAGCTCCCCTGGGTTTCCAATACAATATGAAGTAAGCAGTTTTCTTTTTTTCGTTGTTTTACATTCATGGCGGAGGGAGGTACACATCATTGCCTCGGTGCATGTAGAGGTCAGAGAGACGTCTAATTAATTCTCTCCTTCCACCATGTGGGCTCCAGGGATCAAACTTATACCATCAAACTGGTGGCAGGATGACCTCTGCATCAGCTTCTGCCTCCAGGTTACTGGCCTAACTTCTCTCAGTGACAGACTGTGTTATGAAACTGTAAGTGGAAATAAACTCTTCACCAAGTAATTTATGGTCATGGTGTTTAGAACCCAACTAAGACAGCATGCAAAGATATTTTTACTTCAACAGTAGGAAACAATTTAGTAAAAACAAATTTTTTTTCCTTTGTGATCAATTTGTTGAGTGTAACTTTGTACTAACGGAACTATTTCAGTGTTTTAGAGACCAGCTTATGGGCTGAGACTTGCATCTGCCTTTTTTTCTATACCCCAATCAACCAAGAGTAAATAAAGTGAGGAGAACTCATTGGCTTCCTATTTCACCCTTGCAGGACTCCCTTTCACAGCAGAATTCCTTCATTCCTTCCTTCACTCACTCACTCACTCACTCACCCAATGCACTCCACTCCACCCACATTTCATCAGTTCAGATTTATCGACTAGTAGACCCAAAGAATCAAGCATGATGCCCTACAGTCTCCAGAGTTTCCTACCTTCAGTACTGTATGACTATCATCTAATTATTTTAGCCCTAAATATCAAAGGAGTATTTTATAACCCAGTAATTAAGAATATAATCTTCATGTTCATGCTGCAAACATACAGTTCACACATATTCTACACTTTGGTTGATATTTACTTCTCACATGCTCAAAATTTTCTAAAGTATTTGTAGAAACAAACTGTCATATTTTAAACTTTCCTAATTTATAACAAATCAAAGTACCCCTAGTATCTAATTCTCTAAACATATAGTTTATATTCTAAGATCACATACACTTAATACTCCTTTAGCTTCTACAAACGTTTCTCACTAGATACTCATGCTGACAGGCAGGTGCCGTATATTATTTCCCATAGATATCAACAAGCCAAACTCAATACTAGTAAAACTGGACTTGCTGAAAGCCCTTTTCTACACAGACGCTTTCCAAGTGAACACTTACGTAATGAGCGCCGTCTTTTGTTCTTTAGTTTCCTCCTCTTGTTCATTCCAGCTTTAGAAGGAGATTCTTCTTTGGCCTTTGGCTGGCTAGAAACTTTTGAGGAGTTCTGCTGACTGAAGTGTGTGGGCACATGGCGAGCTAGCCCTCCCTGAGAAGCAAAGCTGGCATTGCAGCCACCAACTACACACTAAAAAGGAGAAAGAAAAGGCTGTCAGGGTTACCACATAGACATGATCAGAACTGAAGGCCAAGGATATTTTCAGCAGTAAACTATGGCACAACAGAACTACTGATTCTAGACAAGATACATGAAGCATTTCTTTTACAAGTTCACTTTAAAAACAAATTATCCACCGGGCGGTGGTGGCGCACGCCTTTAATCCCAGCACTCGGGAGGCAGAGCCAGGCGGATCTCTGTGAGTTCGAGGCTAGCCTGGACTACCAAGTGAGTTCCAGGAAAGGCGCAAAGCTACACAGAGAAACCCTGTCTCGAAAAACCAAAAAAAAAAAAAAAAAAAAAAATTATCCAACAAGTACACCACTTAGCAGTGGCTTTGCTGTTTCCAAATTTAATTTCTCTGCTTTCTCCACTATACCAAGACAAAACCTACAGGATCATCTTCCAACAAGAGATGATTTTGAATAAACCATGTTTATAAGCAGGGCAGGAAACTGACTCCCTAGTGGTTACTCCAATTTCTAGATACTGTTATTTATATTGGATCTCCCTATGAAGCCCTAGCTGGACTAGAACTTACTATTTAGACCAGGTTGGCCTCAAATTCAAAGACCCTCCTGCCTATCCCACCAGAGCACCAGGATTAAAGCCATGCAACACCATCAAATATATAAACTAACCATCTGGGCAGCGGTGGCACACGCCTTTAATCCCAACACTTGAGGAAGGATGATCTCTGATATATATATCTCCATCTATCCAGAATCTTCAGATGCCTCCCTACTTTTCTATACTGTTTTAACAAGTAGAAAAGACATTTAAAAATGGAATTTTAAAAGCTTTATGCATTTGTAGACTTCTAGATCTAATCTCTGTTGGAGGACATTCTCATAGATCCAATCTCCTTAGTTTTTGACTTGAAAATAAACTATAAATATGCAATTAGTAAAGTTCAATGCTAAACATCCAAAATACCACCCTACATGCCTCCAGGCTCCTCTAGCCAATATACTACCAACCCTAACTTCGGGAAAAAAATTCAGCACAATCTGCTAATTTCCTTCACAAAGTACCAAGATGTGTTCTCACCTGGGCCTGCCATCATACCTTCAATGCGCACATACCCCAATTCACACTTTCAATGTCTCCTGGAAATATGAATACCCTTATGCATATATATTAAGCCCAGAACATCTTGTGAACCACAGACATGTCTGTGTACAGTAATGGGAATGAGCAGATGAGTACTTACAGAGTCCTATAAAATTAGGGGCAGCCCAAACATTCAACAAGCTACCTACACAGTGCTAATAAGAATGGCACCTAGTGTTATCATAGGAGTCTACACTCACTTGCTGGGTGCTCAGTAAGTGAGAAAGAAGAATGACTTGAGATATCAGTGCAAACACATCCCAGGATCCACAATCATACAAGGTACAAGTACAGGGACGAATAAAACCAACTTCCTGCCCAGAAAGGAGATCTATGAATTCAGCAAGACACAAAAAAAAACGGTAACTACAACAACAGCAGAGCTACATTCGTGTAATGGGCTGGGTGTACAGGTCAGTGATAGATCCAAGCACAAAAGCTTTGAGTTCTACCCTCAATATTGCAAAAAGAAAAATAAAACCAGCCTGGCAGGAGTGGCCCACGCCTTTAATCCCAGCACTGGGAGGTATAGGCAAGCAGATCTCTGAGTTCAAGAGAGCTGGTTTACAGAGCTAGTCCAAGACAGCCAGAGCTACTGAGAAAAACTCTGTCTCGAAAAACTAAAAAAGAAAAAAACAAAACAAAACAAAAATAAAATAAATAAATAAATAGTAGAACAATCTTATCAATGGGGTTATCCTTAAATAACTTTGTGTTAAATGCAATCAGTAAATTTAAATTTTCAAAGGTGTCAACAACATGTAATTAAGAAAAGATAGCATGGAGCTGGAGAGATGGCTCAGCGGTTAAAAGCACTGGCTACTCTTCCAGGAGCCAGGTTCAATTCCCAGCACCCACATGACAGCTGACAACTGTTTGTAACTCCAGTTCCAGAGGATCTGACACCCTCACAGACTACATGCAGGCAAAACACCAATGCACATAAAATTTAAAAATTATAAAAAAAGAAAAGAAAAACTAAGCTATTTAACATATGATTTTAGCAAAGCAGGATATTCACTTGCAGGAATGAAATTAGATCAGATGTCTTCCCTGGCAAAAATTCAAAAGACCTTCATTTACACCTGAAATTCAAAACTGCTAGGAAAAAGCACTTCAAAATAAGCATGGGAGGTGGAAAGGTGGGTTAGTTGATTAAATCTGACTACACAAGCATAAAGACCTCAGTTTGGACCCTGGCCCACCGATACACACCAGGCATGAAGGCATACATCTATAATCCTAACATGTGGACACAGACAAAAAGGATCCCTGGAGCTCATGGAGCAGAGTAACCAAACTGGTGAGATGAGGTTCAATAAGAGACCCTAGGTGGGTGGAGACTTAGGGATGTAGCTCAGTAAGCAGAGTGGTTACACTACACACACACAAGGTCTTGGTTCAACCCCTAGCATCTTACTTCTAAAAGAGAAGCAGGATCAGGCATTCAAGGTCACCAGCACCAGGAGTTCTGAGCTACAACTAAGCTGAGACACTAACTCAAGGAAGAAGTGGGGATGAAAAGCAATTAAGGTAAACACCCATTGTCAACCTCTGGCCTAGATATGAACATATATGCCCCTCACCCACACACATATATGATATAGGCAGAGTCATTTTTTTTCTGAACAAGACTCTAATTAACACAGGATATAATACCAAGAATTACAGGAAATCAAAATACTTCAGCACAGCAGGTTGATATTTAGGATATATCAAAAACTATAAAAATTAAACACCACCACGTGGTGGAGGTGCATGCCTTTATCTCAGGCAGAGATCTCTTTGAGTTCAAGCACAGCCTGGTCTACAGAGCGAGTTCCAGGACAGGCTCCAAAGACACTGAGAAACCCTGTCTGGAAAAATAAAAACCCTGACAATCAGGAAAATAAGATAATGAACTGTATCCACCACACATGCTCCAGCATGTACACACAGACATACTTATATACACATAAAATTTTAAAAATGTTCCTGCCTGGAGAGATGTCTCAATGCAACAACTGACTAGCACCCACATTGGACAGCTTCAAGAGCTCCAATGTCCTCTTCTGACCTCCACAGGAATCTATAGGCAAGTGCACGGGTGCAGCCACAGACAATAAATAAACACAAAGCTTTAGTGAGCTTGGTGGTACATGCTTTTAATCCTAGCACTTGAGGTTAGAAGGAGCAGCTCTATGAATTTGAGGACAGCCTGATTTTATATTGTTCCAGGCCATCCAGGGCTACACAGCAAGACCCCATCTCAATAATAATCTCAGAGTGGCCTCAACCTCATGCTGATTTTCCTGTTTTCAGCTTCAAAATGAGGAAGTACAGAAGTGAGCCACTGCAGTTGACTCAATAATATTACGCATTAATTAACAAACCATCTAATAAAAATCAACAAAATTTTTAAATGGCTAAAGACTTAAACAGGACAGAGACAGAGCACATGGAAGTATTCAGTAGCATCACTCATGGGAGACATAGAAATGAAAAGAGAGCCAAACTTGCCTCACACACACAGGTCATGGGGTCATACCTCTGGAAAGATGAAAATTTAAAGCTACAAATCCTGGTAATATCAAGATACTGTGCAGCAAAAAAAAAAAAAAAAAAAAAAAAAAAAAAAAAAAAAAAACCAAGTGCATGTGTACAATCCAAAGGTGGGTAGAAGATGTCCATAGGCAGCTTAATTAATAGCAAGTAAAGATCAGAAACAATCTACAGACAATGAGAAACAGGAACAAACAGAAACACTGTCGTTTAACCCTTCTGTGGAACCTAACACAATAATTTTACAGAAAGAAAGAAAATGCTGCTTCATACAGTTTCGATTAATCTTACCAATAACTGACTAAATGAAAGAAAAGAAAATGACTAAAAGAAAGCCGAGGGCGCATACAGCTGTGGCACGTTAGCAGATACAGAATAGGGCAGTGACCTAGGACAGGTGACAAACAGCAGAAAGGGAACCGAGTTTGGTGGTTAAGAGAGTGGAATTTCGCTCTCAACATCTGTAGCTAGAGCTCCTGCGGAAATCCAACTCCTTCTGGTCTCCAAGGGCAACTGCACTAAGGTGCACTGATTTTACACACACACACACACACACACACACACACACACACACCCCGGGGTGGGGGGATATGGTGGCACACGCCTTTAATCCTAGCACTCAGGCAGAAGCAGACAGATCTCTGAGTTAAGAGGTCAGCCTGCTCTACATGGAGACTATCTCACAAAATACAATAACAATAATTTTTTAAAAGAACCCTGTGTTTGTACCTCAGCACTGAAAAGAATGTTTAGAAGGATCAAAACATGCTCATTATACAGATCAGCCAGGCATGGTGGCTCAGCCTGTAATCCCAAAAACTGGAGGCCAAGGCAGCAAGGTTGCCAACGTCAAAGCCAGCTTGGCCTACATTAGGAATTCCAGGATCACAAGAGCTAAGATTACAGTGAGCCCTTACCTATAAAAAGAAGGGAGATGAGTTCCCAGTGTGGCCTTATAAGGCTCAAGCACACATACCTTGAAAGGTTTGTCTCCACTGTGTGTCAGCATGTGCCGCTGCAACCAACTCTGACTGGTTGACGGTGTGTTATACACCTTACAACCTTTCCACAAGCAAACAAACACCTGTTAAAAGGAGAACAAGGGTCATCATTTATCTCAGTAAAGACTCCGGTCACTCATAATTTCAAATATCATGAAAATCTCCAACTGATAAAAAGCCACTGACTGTGCACTCAATAACAATTCAACTCTAGTTTCCCAATAGGGAGTAGTTCTGCCCCACTCTCAATGCTAGGTCCTTTTCCCTCAGTAAGAAACTAACAGACTCCTCAGGATGAAGATACATAAGATGACAATCTCCACCCTTACTTACGTTTCTATAAAGAATTTGCTACTTCTCAATACTAGGAAAATATGAAAATGGTCAATAGACATTAACTAGTAGATAAGCTTTTAACATCAAAAGAACAAGTCAAAAATTACACTTTACATAAGTCACATTCAACTTTCTGGGGGTATTTTTGTTTTTGTTTTTCGAGACAGGGTTTCTCTGTGTAGCTTTTGGTACCTGTCCTAGATCTCACTCTGTAGACAAGGCTAGCCTTGAACTTACAGAGATTCGCCTAGCTTGGCCTCCCAAGTGCTGGGATTAAAGGTGTTTAACTTTTAAAAGAAACAAAAATTTTGTTATCAAGTGTTTCTACTCATGGATTCCTGTTCTCACATGCTCATTAACATTCTGTATTCTTAGACTGTTCTTCCCATTGAGAATATTTTCAGCTATCTTACTTCTGAAGCGAATACAAGAGTTAAGGGATGAAGACTGATCTATCACTGTAAGAAGTACCTGCTCAGCCTCAGGAAACCAAATCTGACCAGGTGTGGAAAGGTCCAGCACTAGCAGCCTACTCTTCCCTTACTTAGTGCAATTTCTGAGTATTCCAAACACTGGCAACTGTCCCACACACTGCAATCTTCCCCTGAAAGAACTGGCACACCTTGCCTCAAAACAAAAACGAAGCTACTTTTGAGAATCTTCTTCCTAAGAACAACTACATACAGAATCACTTTAGTACTATATATAGAACACTTTAGTACTACATATAGAACACACCAAAAATATATGCAGACTGAAGAAAATACATTAAGGGCTGAGAATGCAGCTCTGCAGAGAGTGCTTGCCTATCATGCACAAAGCCTGGGGCTGAATCCCAGGGAACACCAAGAAAATAAACGAAAACATAAAACACAGGCTGGAGAGACAGTTCAGTGTCCAAGAACACTGGCACTCTTGCAGAGACCGGCCTTAAATTCACAGCATCTACTTGGTGGCTCTAGGGAATGTGACATTTTCTTCTAGCCTTCTTGGGAACCAGCATGAATTTAACATCCAGTGTGCAGCAAACATCTCCGTCTATGAACTAATAACAGAAGTCAGAATGGACTCTGTAATCCACTCTGGCTTTTGGATTTCTCAGATGGAGCTGAGTGTCAATTCTAATGCAAGCTGGACCTAGTGACACAAGCCTAATCCCAGCTCCTTAGCAGATATTGCAAGGTCTGGGACTGCTGTGTGACCCAGCAGTTGGTAGAGTACTTGCCTAACATTCACAAAACCTGGAGAAACTAGGCATAATGACCCATGCCTGTAATCTCAGCAACTGAGAGATAGAAGCAAAGGGATTTGAAATTCAAAGTCATCCTTGGCTACAGAGCAAATCTGAGGCCAGCCTGGACTACATAAGATCTGATCTCAAAACAGAACTTATTCTAACAAGGCAGCATCACTGTTGACCATCTAAATGACCTAGCCAATGGTAATGCACATAAATGTCAGTTAGGCAGACGCTGCATTTCAAAAACACTTCCTCTTCCTCCTCACTGATTCTGGTCCTTGCATATTCATCCTATATTCACCCTATGTTTCATAGTCCAAGTTTTAAAAGCTACTAAACCGGCCTGGCAGAGCAGGCCTGTAATTGCAGCTGTTCAGCAAGATGAAGCAGGAAGATGAGTACAAAGCCTGCTTGGGCTACAATCAAAGTTCAAGAAGTAAATCACAGAGGACTCACATTCAATACACCCATCACAAAAACGTTTCCAAGATTACTTTTCGATCGGTGAGGTGGCTCAGTAGGTAAAGGCACTTGCTTCTAAGCCTGAAAACCTGAGTTCAATCCCAGACACACAAAGTGGAAAAGCCAATTCTGGCAAACTGCCCTCTGATCTCAACAGTCCCCCCACCACCACACACACACAATATACAGTGGATAAATTTAATATAAACATATTTAAACAGATATTTAAAAGGTTACTTAAAGAAAATAAATCTACTGGGTAGATAGTGAGTGGCATGCCTTTAAACCCATCACTGAAGAGGCAGAAGCAGGTAGATCTGTGAATTTAAGGCCAGTCTGGTCTACATACTGAAACCCTATCTCAAAATTGTTTGGATGGAGCCGGGCAGTGGTGGCGTGCACCTTTAATCCCAGCACCTGGGAGGCAGAGGCAGGCCGATCTTTGTGAGTTTGAGGCCGGCCTGGTCTACAGAGCGAGATCCAGGAAAGGTACAAAGCTACACAGAGAAACCCTGTCTCGAAAAACCAAAAAAATAAAAAATAAAAAATAAAAAAAATTGTTTGGATGGCTTGGTTGTTTGAGATAAGTATCCTCAATGTAGCCAGGCTGACCTCCATGATCCTCCTAAGTTAAGCTCTCATGTGCCAAGATTTTTACATATCTGCTCTATTAATCTAAAATCTCAAGTGACTTTTTTTTTTTCAAAACAGGGTTTCTCTGTGTAGTTTTGGTGCTTGTCCTGGAACTCACTTTGTAGACCAGACTGGCCTCAAACTCAGAGATCCGCCTGCCTCTGCCTCCCGAGTGCTGAATTAAAAAAGGCGTGCACCACCACTGCCCAGCCTCAAGTGACTACTCTTAATTAAAGGAAATGTAGGGCTTTTAGAGGGACCCTGTCTCAAAACAAGGAATCAGGAGAGGGGAAGAGGAGGGAGAAGAATGAGACACAAAAGAAAAGGACAAGTCGGCCGGGCAGTGGTGGCGCACGCCTTTAATCCCAGCACTCGGGAGGCAGAGCCAGGTGGATCTCTGTGAGTTCGAGGCCAGCCTGGGCTACCAAGTGAGTCCCAGGAAAGGCGCAAAGCTACACAGAGAAACCCTGTCTCAAAAAACAAACAAACAAACAAAAAAAAAAAAAAAAGAAAAAGAAAAGGACAAGGCAGAACCTAAGACTTTGGATACACAATTGTAGCTGTTCACACATGGCTATGGTCTGCTTTATGTTATTTTTTTTAATACTCTTTTTTTAAACGTTTATGTATTTCGCCCGAATCTGTCTGTGCACCACATCCATATATTGCCTTTGGAGGGCAGAAATGAGCACTGGATGCCCTTGAACCTGGAGTTACAGACAGATGCTAGCCGCCAAGTTAAGTGCTAGGATCGGAACCTGAGTCCTCCGGAAGAGCAGCCTGTGCTCTCAATCACTGAGACCCCTCTCCAGCCCCGGTTATTTGGTTCTGAGATAAGGTCTCACATGTAACCTTAGAACCTAACTAGGCATCATCCTGTCTCAGCCTCCCGAGCAGGCAAATGCTACTATTTCTGACCTTGAAAAACATTTATACTTGATTTTTAGAAACACTTCTAGTATAAAATGATTTTATTTTTCTGTAGTTGTTGTTCTGAAGCAGGGTCTCACTATGTAGCCTTGGCTGGAACTTGCTATGTAGACAAGGCTGACCTCACATTCACAAAGATCCAACTCTCACTGCCTCCCCAGTGCTGGGATTAAAGGTTTGCCTCACCATATTCAACAATGGGTCCTATAAATCAATTTAGGTTTAGCTATTTTAATAAATTCACAGTCCAGTCTCATGTGATATGGAAAAGCTTATGTATTATTAGGGAATACTGAACAAAACAAATACAGTGACCAACTAATCTGTGGTATATGCCTATATTCTCAGAATTCAGGAGACAAGAAGGGAAGAAAGTTCCACAAAGTCAAGGGCAGCATGATAAACCAAAAAGTTCTAGGCCACTATCTCAAAAAACACCCATGCCACTATGGAGAATCCAAAGTACAGACACTTCATGTCTGTACATAAATTTATTTTTGTTATATGTAATTTTATTATATGTAATACAAAAGTTTTACTGCTTTTTTTAATTATACATAACATTCTCATGTTTTGTGTTTTGTTTAGTTTTTTTAATCATTGTTATTCTTTGATACTAATAGTTCAGGGCAGTCTAGATATCCCTACCTCAGCCTGAGTGCTAGGATTATATAACACTCAGGTTGCCTCATAACTCTCTAAAGTATACTCATACTCTATTGTTTACATAATTTAATCTCTCATACGCTCAACCACACTTACATATGAAAAGGTCAGGATGGGTGCTAAACAGATGGCTCAGCAGTTAAGAGCACTGGTTTCCCTTCCAGAAGCCCGAGTTCAATTCCCAGCACTCAAATGGCAGCTCACGGCTGTCTACATCTCCAGTCTCTGCAGGCACCAGGCATACACAGAGTGCAACAGCAAAACACCCAAACACATAAAAATAACCATTTTAAGGGGGTTGGAAAGATGGATCAGCAGTTAAGAATACGTGCTACTTTTGCAGAGGACCTGGTTTTAGTTCCCAGCACCCACATATGGGGGGTAACAGCCATCATAGGCATGCACAAAATATACACAGATACATAAGCAAAACATCCATAAAAATAAAATAAATCTTTAATTTTGGGGGGTTTTGTTTTGGAGACAAGGTTTCTCTGTGTAACAGCTCTGACTGTTCTGGAACTCACAGGCTGGCCTCAAACTCAAGAGATCCATCTCCTCTGCCTCCCACATGCTAGGATCAAAAGAATGCATCAATGTCCGGCTTAAAAACATTTTTTAAAAAGAAAACATAAGGAAAAGCTACTGTTCAATAGCCAACTAAAATTAAATCTCACGTGGACATGACAATACAGACAACTTGAAGCTGGTGGAGATGTCTCTACACTATCCATGGGCTCTTACTTCTCCCAGGGTAAGGATTACAAAGGAAGAGAAAACAGGTGATAATTTAGTATTTAAATCCTGCTAACTTACTGCTCCAGTAAAACTCATCTTTTTCTGTTTCATGATGGCATTTTAATATTTAAAGAAACAAGAAATCTAAAAACATCATTAGGCAATCAAAGTCAGATATTCCCCTTGTACTCTTATGAGGCTATAGGCTCAAATGTCAAGTTTCTTGTCAAGCATGCACAAAGACCTAGGTTCTAGTTCCAGCACTGGGAGAAAACAGAAGTCCTTGTAGAAGATATGCAGACAACTTCGATACAGAAAGTGGTCACCAAAATAGCTATCCACTGATAAGGGGGTGATCTCAAGGGGTCCAGATTGCATCTTGAGATGATAATGGAAAAGCCATAGAGACAGATAATGAAAACTATACAACGGTGTAAATTTACAGGGTGCCACTGAATTAAACACTTAAAAACAGTTAAAAAAAGTTTCTTGAGGCTGGAGACATGGCTCCCCAGAACACTGGGAAATGGCAGTTATGGCTCATGCCTTTAATCCCAGCATTCGGGAGGCCAGCCTGGTCTACAGAGTGAGTTCCAGGACAGCCAGGGCTACACAGAGAACTTCTGTTTCAAAAGAAAACAAAACAAAACCAACCAATCAACCAACAACCAAAGAACACTGAGGGCTCTTCCAGAGTACCCAGGCTCAATTCCTAGCACCCACTTGGTGGCTCACAATCATCTGTAACCCCCAGAGTCTCAGGGGATAGATGTCTTCTTCTGGTCTCCATGGGACACTGCACACATGTGATTCATAGACTAACATGAAGACAAAACACATACATAAAATTAAATAGTTAAAATGGGTTATGTTACCCTTAAAAAGGTCATTGCAAAACATATTATTTCAACCAACAAGTATTCATTCTTCAAGACACAAACTCAACCAAAAAAGCTCAGACAAACTAAGACTTGATTCCAGAACTAAACAGGCTGAGGAAGGATAACTGCAAAGAATTTGAGACCAGCCTGGGCTTCATGGTGCCAGATCAAGACATTTGTGAGGGGTCAAGGAGATGTACAGGGCGCTCGCTCTCTCTCTCTCTCTCTCTCTCTCTCTCTCTCTCTCTCTCTCTCTCTCTCTCTCCTCGGGGAAGGATAGTCACAGAACATTCTCAGAGAGCACAAAATATATAGTAAAACCCCATTTCTAAAGGGAAAAAAAAAAGCTTATGGGCTGGAGAGATGGCTCAGGTTAAGAGAACTGGCTGTTCTTCGAGGGGTCCTGAGTTCCACTCCCAGCAACCACATGGTGGCTCACAACCATCTATAATGAGATCGGGTGCCCTCTTCTGGCCTGTAGGCAAAACTCTGCATACACAATAAATAAATATTTTTTTTAAAAAAAAAAAAAACACCTCAAGCCTTCTCCCATATCTATATCTATCTTTATTCCTTTTTCCCTTCCCCTCCTTATTGGAAGTCCACACCCAAGTAGTATGTACTGTTTCTTTAAGGAACTCTACCTCTATTCCTGCTTTAACTTTTATTCTCTCCCTCTCCCTCTCGCTCTGTCTGTGTGTGTGTTTGACAAGCATGAAGATAATTTTGCAGAGTCAGCCCTTCCACCTTTGCCCAAAATCTTTGGATTTGTACACAGGTAGTTAGGCTCATGATTGGTCACTACTTCTCTTCTTTACTGCATGTGTTTAAGTCTATACTAAAACTGCTGTTTTTTAGGTTTATTTTATGTGTGTAAGTGTTTTCTCTATGCATATGTCTGTGTACAACTTGCACATCCAGTTCTTGTAGTCAAGAGGGTGCTGGATCCTCTGAAAGTTGAGTTATTGATGGATATGAACACTATATGTGTCTTGGGGATCAAACCTAGGTCCACTGGATAAGCAACAAACACTCTTACCCACTAAGCCAACTCTCTAAAGAGTTATTATTAGCCAGATGGTGGTGGTGGCGGCGGCGGCGGCAGCGCACGCCTTTAGTTCCAGTACTTGGGAGGCAGAGACAGGCAGATCTCTGTGAGTTCGAGGCCAGCCTGGGCTACAGATACAGAGTGAGTTCTAGGGAAGGTCACACAGAGAAAGCCTGTCTCAAAAAAAAAAAAAAGTGTATACACACACACACACACATACACACACACACACACATATATATATATATATAAAACTATTGTTTATTTTTTTAGATTTCATTTACTTTTATCTTATGTGCATTAATGTTTTGCCTTCATATATGTATGTGCGCCATGTGCATGCCTGGTACCCTCAGGTCAGAAGAAGGCATTATGCATGGCTGTGGGCCACCATGTAGTGCTGGGAACTAAACCCAGGTCCTTCACAAGAGCCGTCAGTGTTCTTAACCACTGAGCCATCTCTCCAGCCCTGTTTAAATTATTATTGTGTGGTATGTGGGCTTTTGAGACACAACATTCATGAGGAGGACACAGGACAACTTTGTTGAGCAAGCCCCTTCACCCGAGCCATTTCACCAGTACACAGAACTTTAATGATAAACTTCAACTTTGTTCCATAAAGGAAACTTAGTCTAACTTCATTTTTTTCTACATGCCTTTAAATAGCTGAGAATATTCACATAGGATGTGTGCCAATTTAATTCATAGAATCCAAGATTCAATTCTCTCAAACCTACTACGAAATGCCAAGTGATCTCTATGTAAACATTGATCCTAATCCTATATATAGTAGCTAAGTCAAGTGCCAAAAAAGCTTATGCCACAGTAGAATGTAAGTAGCATCAGGCACAAGCTCACAAAAGGCAGTATGGTGGTACCCAACTGCAATTTGAGCATAAAGTTAAGGCAGGATTGTAAATTAAAGAGAGCCTGGGCTACACGGTGAGACTTGTGTCTTAAAAAGGGCATTATCTGTAACAGGAAACCAATACGGTTAAAATATGGTAAGATACTAGTATCTGCTTTACTGGGTGGGGGACTGGATTTCACTCCAGTGAAAGACGTAAGGTGAACAGAGTTCACCAGTAGACCAAGTGGAAGTATGCTACTTGACTGGCTACTCAGACATACGAAACTTAAGACAACCATTTACTCCTCAGGTATAAGAAAAGACTGCTGACATATTGCATCATTTTAAGGACAATTATTTCTTAAAGATATTTTGATTGGTGGGGTTTGTTGTTGTTTTGTTTTGTTTTTGACAGGGTATCACTATGTGTAGTTCCGGCTGTCCTAGAACACATTATGTAGACCAGGCAGGCCTCAAACTCAGAAATCAGTCTGCCTGTCTCCCAAATGCTGGGATTAAAGATGTGTGCCACTGTGCCCAGCTTTAAAGGAAAGTTGAAAGGCAACCCCACTGATCAAAATGATAAACACTTCCACAGTTGCCTATTCTAGTCCCTGTGATTCAACACAGGGTCAGTCTCCTGCATCCTACCCAAGCATTCTCTCACAGCTACATACTGCATCCAGTATTTTAAGGAGCCATCTAACTCCAGAAAGTTTAACTCGCTTAAACTATCTATGGCAATTTTAACCAGATTACCTCCACAGTGAAGATATTAGCAGGCTCTAGGCCAGCCAGAGATACACAGTGAATGAAACTCTGTCTCAAACAAACAAAAACAGTGAAGGCATGGCCTAGTATTATCTGTATTTAGAAGGTAATATTAGTTTCTGAAAAATGTACTAACTATGGTCAACTAGATACAGTTAAGATACAGTTAAATAATTACTCAGGAAGGCTATCCTGGGCTACAGAGTAAGACCCTACATGAAAACAAAATAGTTGATGTACTTTGACTGACCTAACTTGGTTGGCTCTAGATATTACATCACATGATATTAGACGACAAAATTAAATGAGCTCCAGGCAAGGCTCCAAAGTGAGCCTTATACTAAGCCAACTCTGCAAGGGTATAGGTTAACACTGACTAATCAGAACATCTTCTTACATGAACTTCTGACCCTAGGAAAGATGTCCAGTCATTGATCATAGATGATGAGCTCCCTTTGCATTACAGGAGCCACATGTACCAACCCTGGCACCATCTCTGAGGCTGGCCAAGTCCGTCATGGTAACTGAGGCTTTGACCAAGAGTCATAGGGATGCTGCCCATTCCCAGATGCTTTCCCCTTCAGTGCCAGAACCTAGGAACTCACTGTGTCCATTTATATTTCTAAGAACTACAGCTTTAAAGGGCTCATTTCTTCAAAATATTATCTAGGAGCAAACTGAAACCCAAAAAATTATATATCCTACTTTCATATAATCCTAGCAAGTAGACAGGAAGAGAACAGAAAATGAGGGGGAATTCCCCTATTCCTTTCATGGAGAAAAATAAAATTCTACTAGCAATTATAAATGAATACAACCAAAACAGAATGAAAAAAAATGGTAAAACCAACCCCTCCACGCTGACCATCTACGTGTATGGAACGGATGTGGTCTGCCAGGTCTGGGCTAGAGTTGAAGCACGCCTGGCACTGGTCCCAACAACAATTATAGGCAATGTGTTTGCTTGAAGAAGTAGTGCTCCCTTGTCCATTCATCATTGCTGGAGTTGAACGCCCACTGGAAATTGTGCTGTCTACGTCCATTAGAGTACTGCTTATGCTACAAGAGAAGAAAAAGGCTGTTACTCCTAGAAATTTACCAACGTAAGTATGATCTTACAAATACTGAATTACATACGATATTCTGATCTATACAAATAATGTATACTGACCAAAATTCTCCATTCAACTGCATTGCTTTGAAATTAGCTGGCAATGAAGTACAAGGTAAAAACACAACACGGCCTCAAAATCAAATACAAAGCTAGGTGCCATGGGTACTAACCACAATCCTAGCACTTGGGAGGCTGAGGCAGGACTGCAAGAATTTGAGGACAGCTTGGGAGAGTGAGAATGAGATCCACTGTGAATAACTCTTACAGGAGTCAACAGGGTCTGGACGCATAAGTTATGGGAGAACATTTCTTAGCATAAGCTAGACCCTACAAGTCAAACCCTTGTACACACAGAGAGAGAAAGAGAGAGAGAGAGAGAGAGAGAGAGAGAGAGAGAGAGAGAGAGAGAGAGAGAGAGAGAGAGAACTGAAGTTACCAAAACCTAAATAAATCTTCTCTGGTCCTTGAGCAAACTAAGAAAATGGAATTTTAAAAATTGCACTTATGCCGGGCGGTGGTGGCGCATGCCTTTAATCCCAGCACTCGGGAGGCAGAGGCAGGCGGATCTCTGTGAGTTCGAGGCCACCCTGGTCTACAGAGCGAGATCCAGGAAAGGCACAAAGCTACACAGAGAAACCCTGTCTCAAAAAACCAAAAAAAAAAAAAAAAAAAAAAAAAAAAAAATTGCACTTACTGAAACTCCTGAACTAAGATGCAGCCAGGAGAGAAGGCCTTCAGCATCCCCTGAACCTCCCACATCGTGAGTCCTCAAGGCCTTAAGACCTGGGAGGCAGACACACTCCCAGATGGACCCTCCTGATCAGGAGGCATGCAAGGCACTAGCCAAACCTGACCAAAAGGAGGGAATTGAGGCTCCATTCACCCACTGAGAGAAGCTGGAAATGGAGCAGGGGGAAGAGCTGTGTGGCCCAGCCCACCAGCTCAGCCTGGATTTCTACCAATACCACAGTACCCACTGCTGACATTCTTAAGGGTGCCAAGTCAGGTTCACTTCCATGAACTGCAAGGAGTCCTGTGACCCCAAGCACTGTGGGTACAGCAGGGCAGCTCTCCACAATGCTGGAGGTCTTCCAGGCACTCATTCTCTGCTTTGACACCTGCGAACCAAGACAAGGATGGTATGGCAGATAACCAAGCCCTAAAGATTTTTTAATCTATAGGGAAGGCATCCATTACACCTGCAGAAATGCATCCTGGGGGGGGGTCAAGCTGAGTGATTTCTGCCTGTCGGCACTGACCAGCAAAATCAGATGGAGGTGAGCGGTAGCAATTTTGGCCTTTTCCCTGGTCACCTGTAGACCAGGCTAGCTATCAGATCAATATGTAGTACAGCATGACCTTAAAATTAAACTTTTCATGACTCTCTGGCCTGCACCCAACTAGTGCTGGGTAACTGGCACTGCCTACCATGAACATCCATCCTTTTATTTTTTTACATCTTTATTTTTTTGAGACAGGGTCTCTCTATATAGTCCTGGCTGTCCATGTAGACCAGGCTGGCACGATAAATCAAAGATACTCCTGTCTCTGCCTCCCAAGTGCTGGATTAAGTGTGCCATCACACCTTTTTTTTTTTTTTTTTTTTTTGCTGTATGCAAGTGTTTTTTATTTTTTACTTTTTGCCTGTCTGTGCACCACTTGGTGCCCAAGGACACTAGTGGAGGGAACTGGAGTTACAGGTGGTTGTAAGTTATCATGTTGGTCCTGAGAACTGAACCAGGTCCTCTAAGAGTACAAACCAATGCTCTTAACTTAAGAGCACTGGTTTTCAGTCCCTTTTTAAACTTTGATTTTTGCCAGGCAGCAGTGGAGCACACCATTAATCTCAGCACTTTGGGAGGCAGAGGCAGGTGGATCTCTGAGTTCCAGGCCAGAATGGTCTATAGAGCAAGTTCCAGCCAGGACAGTCATGGCTACACAGAGAAACTGTTTCGGGGTGGGGGGGGGTGGTGGGGGTGGGGTAAATTTTGTTTTTGTTTTCTGATACAAGGTCTCACTCTGCAACCAGTCTGACCTGTAACTCAGAGGCCATCCTGTCTCAGTCTCCCTGGTGTTGAAATTAACTGACTTTTGCCTCTAGGGATGGAGATTTATTTACCACTCATTTTGTGCCTGTAGCATGTTTTTTGGTTTTGTTGTTTTTCAGGCTGAGTTCCACGCCCATAACTCCCAGATATTCTATGGCTTTTGAAGTGACTTCTTAGGAACTTGCTTGAGTTTTCAGATCTCTGAATGGCAGGTACTACAATGAAGGTATTGATAGAAACAATATACATTTATATGGGGGAGACACAACTTGCAGGGTTGTTTCTGTCCTCCCACCAGCTCAGATCATCAGCTTAGGGGAGGCACTCTCACCTGCTGAACCATCTTGACAGCCTCCACCCCCCAATTGAGACAGTCTTGTCATGCTACCCAGGCTGGTGCTGATTACACTTTCATTTTAATCTCTATCCAACAAAAAGACTGAAATGCCCATCAATTTTCCTTTGTGAGATCTTGCTAAGTAGCCCATGCTCTTCTGCCTCAGAATGACAGGTATATACTACCATACCCAGCCTAGTCACAACTTTTAAAATGTACGTTTTCAGTTTGTGGGTAGTGGTAACTGGTTTTGTTTTGAGATGGTCTTATTGGCCCAGGCCTTGAACTTATGCCCCTCCTCTAAGTGTTAGGATTCCAGTTGCACCATCACACCTGGTTCCTCACATTTTTATTATGAAAAAGCTCAAAATGGGTTATAGAAGCACTTGCCACCAAACCTGATGACCTGAGTTCAATCCCAGGACCCACGTGGTAGAGAGAACGAACTCCAGCAAGTTGTCACTCTGACATCCCTCCACATTCGTGCCCACACACCCAAGCATGCTAGTACATATGCACACAACACACACACATGCGTACACACGAGTGTACATCACACACACACACACACACACACACACACACACACAGAGGCACATTCACAAAATAAAATGTAATAATTTTTTAAGAAAAAGAAAGGTAGCCGGGCGGTGGTGCCGCACGCCTTTAATCCCAGCACTCGGGAGGCAGAGCCAGGCGGATCTCTGTGAGTTCGAGGCCAGCCTGGTCTCCAAAGCGAGTTCCAGGAAAGGCGCAAAGCTACACAGAGAAATCCTGTCTCAAAAAACCAAAAAGAAAGAAAGAAAAAGAAAGGGAGAATGGTGGTGGCATACACCTTTAATCCTAGCACTTGGGACAGAGACAGAAGGATCTCTGTGAGTTCGAGGCCAACCTGGTCTACAGAGTGAGTTCCGGGAGAGCCAGGGCTTCAAAGTGAAGCCCAGTTTGGAGAGAAAAAAAAAAGAGCTAGGGGCACACTAAGATGGCTTACCTAGCATGCACAGAACTCCTGGGTTCAATCTCTAGCACCACATAAAACAGGCATGGTGGTATGCCTATAATCTCAGTACTTGGCAGGTGAAGGCAGAAAGATTCGAAAGCAAGATCACCCTCAGCTCCAAAAGAAACACTCACTTTGGAACTGGGCATGGTAGTTTACATCTCTGATCCCCACACTAAGGCTGAGCAGAGGATCACCGTGAGTTCATGGCCAACCTGGGTTATAGTCTGAGACCGTCTCAAAAACCAAACAAAGCAACAATCACAGAGCTAAGAGGGGCACAGCTCAGTGAGGAGGCACTCTGTTCAGCATGCTCAAGACCTGCCATCAGAGAGAACAGACACCTGCACAGCTGTTCTGACCTCCACACCCATGCCTTGACATGCATGCCTACATGCACATGAAATAAATTAAAATGTAACATAAACAAGTCTAAAGACTGCCTCCCCAATCCATTCTAATTAAATACCATTTTAACTTTTATGTGTATATAAAATTTCATCTGAGGAAAAAATTTCAACCACTACTGGAAATTCTTAATTTTTTTAAAATTTTGATCAATACATAGCTGTCTGTACAGCAGATAAAGTGATGTTTCAGTAACTGTACAGTGGGTGACGAGTAAACTAGGCTGATGAACATCCCATAACATTAAACATTTATCATCTGTTGTAGTATACCCAAAACTCTCCTAGCTATTCTGTTATTTACAATAATTGCCCTGCTGGGCAGTAGAGAACACCAGAATTTATTCTAACTGCAGCATTGTACCCTGTAAATTGTTTTTAAATTCTATCTTCTCAACAACAGACATCAAAATGTCCACTACTGTGATAACAGCACTTTTCTATTAAAGGGCTGGAAACCACTGAGCTCTTAGCTCGTAACGGGAAAGGATTAAGGTACCATGAACTAAGAGAATGCACACTCCCAACCCTTCAAGAAATGAAGGTTCTGATTTGAGGCTTCCCATAAGAACTTCCCTAATCTCTACCAGATCAGGCTCTTCCCCTTATTAATGAAAAACAGGATCTTGCCGGGCGGTGGTGGCGCACGCCTTTAATCCCAGCACTGGGGAGGCAGAGCCAGGCGGATCTCTGAGTTCGAGGCCAGCCTGGGCTACAAAGCGAGTTCCAGGAAAGGCGCAAAGCTACACAGAGAAACCCTGTCTCAAAAAACCAAAAAAAAAAAAAAAAAGAAAGAAAGAAAGAAAAACAGGATCTTTAGGACCTCTTCAAGTCACCTAATTATTACACACCCCTCATGGCTGTAGGGAGTTAGGGACAGAACCTGAGGACTCATGCAAGTATGGTACTTCTATAGCCTATAAAACAAGTATTCCAAAATTCCCATTTTTCTCAGGATAGACCAGGGGTCAGTCACCTGGTGTGACATGTCTGTAACCCTCCAGAGGAGGAGAATCCCCAGAAGTTTTGACCTGGCAGCACTAAGTGGTCGGTCTCAAGATGCTAGGAGCGTGGCTCACACCTGGGAACCCTGAACTTCAGAGGGAGGCAGGAAGATTGCACAAAGTTCAAGGGTAGTCTCCTAGTTAGCTTA